TGGAGGGAAAACCCCTACAGATGTTTGCTGTCAGCTCTAGCTGAAGCAGCACACTCAAACAGGCTCCAACAAGTCACACCCTGTTCACTGACGCTGCTTTAACGCACACCTGCCATTTCTCCATCCACACTTGGCAGCAGCACTCTTGCACGCCGGGTAAATGAGCAGCAGGACGTTACAGCGGGTGATGCAGCACCGACGTGCCCCTTGCACATCGGAATTTGCCCCGTGCTCCGCGGTACAGCAGCAGTCCCGCAGCAACGCTCCTTGTACTGCTCCATCGCAGAGGGGCCCCGCGCCCCCCGGACAAGGAAAGACTCAAGCCTCAGGATTGCAAAGTTAACATTTTATTGAACTTAAATTGATGTAGAACAGAGGGGGCAACAATGGCTCAAGTGTTCATTAACAAAACGCCCCAGGATGTTTCACGTACAGAGTCTTAATACAGTTTTTATGGAAACAATTGAAAAAGTTGTAAAATACTCTCAAAGTCAGAAAGGGGGATTCACAGCCCTGTTTTAAGCCTTCATGTTCCCAAATATTGTCCTCCCTTGATCAAGTTCATATCCTCCCCAAAAGAAGGTTATGGAATTGCTGGCCACATCCCTCCCCCATCAGGTACAGAAACAAATGATAGTAAACTTACAGAAAGAACTATACTTTAGAGTAGCCATAGGTCTTTGCATGAATCAACATTACATATCTAGAAAGACTGGTTGTACCATTACTATTTTAAAAAAGCTAACAAATGAGCAAAGTTACGATATCAACACTTTAACTCAATTTCTGTTTAAAACCTGTTGAAGTAACTTGCCTCCAACACTTGTCTACATGTTTTACAAAACACTTCAAAAAGATTTTAATATTATATTTTTTTTGATAACACACAAGGTGAACTGAAGAATTAAAAGCAGTCAAGTGAGCTGCTTCAAGTGATAGTTTAGAGCATATCTACAATTAAAAAAAAAGATTTACTTTGGGCACAGTTTCTCTCCCTCAAACCCCAGCAAGATTGAAAACCAATCCTCCTAACCTATGTTTTTTTTCAGCCAACTGCAAAGGGCTACTGCCTCCCTTTCAACCATGTATTTTTATTTTTTTTTTTTTTTTATAAACTGTAGTGAGATTCACAGTTTCCAGGAAGGAGACATGTGTGGCTGCCCCTCCTCTACATCAATCATTTGCTTCATATTTGTAGTAGTGTAACCCCAGCCCAGATGCCACCACAGGCAACGTTTGTTTCTGAGCGAGCAGGCCAGTTTTACAGGAAAGGCAATAATACGGAGAGAGGCCCCACTCCAGCGGGCTCTCAACTTCTGCTGAACTGGAATGTCAACTCCAGGGAAACAAGAGATATGTAAATTTACAGCACTATTTTGCAACACATAGGCTGTTGGGTGTACTTGCAAGGCTTCAGAAATGCTCAATGCAAATGGACAAAACCTTCAATTAAGGCCTTTACAGTAGTTTGTCAGGTCTGATGATGATATGCAGTGCTGGACCTCTGAAGTAGCACTAACCTCCAGCTGCAATACATACACAGCCTGTAAACCAGAAGATGTGCGCAAATACAGGTCAATGGTAAAAAGTGGGGTAAAAAAACCCAATTAACTGCACCGCGTCTCAGCTCTACAGTGGTAGCACTATGAATGATCGCAACACACCGAGACAGTTGTAGCAGCATTGTGTGTCCCGTAATGGCAGTTAATGTCAGATCCAGACACACAGTTTAGATAAAGAGCACTGAACTACTGAAATGGGTCCCAACATCAAGAACTTAATGTTATTTTAACAGCCACTTCGTTTCTAGGTTGATAGCTAACAACCCAGTGCAGCTGTGGCAGAACGGCAGTGAATTTAACAGCCCCTGCCCCACATTTGTACCTGGGCAGGACTGCCTGTGTATGCTCAGGACCAAATTCAGGCGTTAAACCCAGATGAACGGAGCTCTTAATGGGAAGCAAGGCGGCTTCTCTTCATTTGGCCATTTGAAATGTGGAGCTGAAAACAACTGTACTGATCCAAGCAACCCAAAGTCAACTTGGTCTCAAGTAGGTAACACAACGCTGTCATGCAGCGGGAAAGGGATGCACCTTGCTTGCTGTTCCATCTTCACGGATCTAACGCCTTTGAACCCACAAATTTAAGGCAAAAATTCAATTGCTCCCATTTACCTGAATGCATGTTTTCTGGCAGTCAAACATTTTCTGGTTTACACTGATACACAACAGTTATTTTTGATGCTGGAGATAAAGTCTATTAGTGATACTACCAACATTTTGGCAAAAATTCCACAATCAGATCTGTAAACATAATGCTTCCCTTTTCAATTGGCAGCATTTTGAAAAGACGAACACAGTAAGACACACAAAGATTTTGCTCAATTTTGACCAAATAACCTGTGTTTTCACATGATAAAGCAAGCAATGGTTTACATCAAAATAAACCAAAAAACTGCATGAAATGAAAGTTTGTGCTGTTTAGTGATCACAGTATTTTATAGTTAAATACATCTGTTCTTTGTTATATTCCTGGCACCCAGGACAAAAATCTTTAAATATATATTTCATGTAGGCAATAGCTTCTTTGCATATCTCTCTTCAAAAAATACTTTATAGTAGTATATAAATAGGTAACCTACATGTTTAATTTTATAATCTTGCCTGAAAACTATATATCTGCTTCATTTTTGTAAAGTATCAATTTCCCCAATATTATTAAAGCTGACGAACTGTTGAAATGGAAATGCTCATCTTCCACAATAGAAGTAGCAATTTTATAGGAAAAACCTACAGCAACACTCATCAGTTGTTTTAACCTGAGCGTTTGGCCTACTTAAGAGTAGCAGCTTTTTTTTTTTTTTTTTCCCCATTACACATGTTCACACCCACACGTTCTTGCACACACACATTACAAGCACACACTTCCAGACACAAGTAGGCCACGTAGTGCTTCCCAGGTGCTTTAGCAAAGTGGGAAGCAGTGTAGCTAATAATTTAACTACACTAAATAAACACAAGCAAACACCTTAAGGCAACCACTGCAATGGGGGTTTAAGTTGCAAGGGTGAGTTTCTGTTGTAACAAAATGGGCTGTATACAGCACTTATACATCCCTCTTTAACCCTCCAAAACAATGTGATTTTTTTTTTTTCTGTGCAAATTTCTAAACCTTCTACCATTTAAGGCAAAGAGTTTACATTAACAAGAAAGGTCAGAAAACAGCCTTATATTTATCCAAAAGCATTTCAATTTGCTACAATATTTTCTTAAAATGTGCACAACTTCTCGGTAGAGGTACCGTATCCCCAGCATCTACTGATAAAATTATTTCAATGGACAAACATAAGTCTTGAAGAAAAGAAGGGACCAGAAGAAGCAGCTTCAAATACACATATAAGCAACATTAACAACAACAAAAGTACTTAAGTCTGCTAATACTGAAACTTCTGTAATGCAAAAGTTTGATACTAATTTTTAGAATCTTAGAGCAACTAATCTAAAGTTTTAAATAAATAAACTTCAGTTCATTCACATGTCCTGGTAAAAGCAGAAGACTAGTGCAATGACTCTGCTTGCTGTTCATCATATTCCCCTATGAGTCTCTTGATGTGAGACAGCTTGTTGTGGAGATACTCGCATCTATACTTCTCTTCATAGTAATTGGGGGTAGACTGTAAAGATAAAATAAAAAGAAAATTAGGACATGAAAACATTTCTGCAGAGTTTAACGTTTCACGCCCTTTGCTTAAAAATAGTCTTGAGCCAGTGTCAGTGATTACTCACTTCCCACAAATCCAGTGTTACACATACCTGTTTTACTTTTCGATACTCTTCTAAGACCTCCTCATGAAGCATCTTCAGGAAAAAAAAAACATGAAGACAATATGAAGAACATTGCACTACTACCAGAAAATCCAAGTTTATGTAAAACACTAAAAATACACTTAGTTTTATTCAAGATATTTTCTTATCCATGAGCCACACCACTCTCCTGCATTACAAAGATAAACCCCTAACACACCATATTACCCAAGATCTGCAATCAAACCTGTAAATAGCCAACAAAAGCAGCACGTGTTTGAAGATTCCCTTTGAGAACATGCTCGTGCTGCTGTGTGTTCACAAACAGCTCAAACAGGTGGGGGTTTGAGGGCTGAACAACTTTTTGCAGGGTTTTGTCAAGCTACCAAAATCAGAAGTAGCCCACACAGGGTCTGAGCACGTATGCAAATTCTGAAAGGTTTCCCTTTATCTGACTGAGCCAGTACCACAGATTTTTAAAATACTCCCTCTGTTCACAAATACATTTTCAATCTGACCAAAAACTAAATAAAAGCCAACCAAAAGTCCTCAGCGTGGACACAGAATTAAAGAATTCTGATACTGAACATGCGGAATTTGTAAGTCCAAATCAGAGAATTCCAGGCTGCAAAGCCAGAATATCAGGTTTTTAACACCCTTCCCTGCTAAAACCATTGCTAGGATCAGCCACCTGGAAGATGAGTAAGTTGGGGCTGTAGGTTTGGTTAAGTGTGTAAAATCATAGGAAATACAGGGTCAGGAAAGCTTTGGGATTACAGCTGCTGGTTTCCACGCGCTTCCCATCTTTTGCTCCATCTGTGTAACAGCAGCCCACCTCGGAGGATGCTGGGGCGGTCAAAGCCTGTGCCAGTCTGGCAAGTCCAGCTATGTGACTGGTTACTTGGTCTCAGACATTGAACCTGGCAAGTCTTTTAAAATCACGTCAATATAATTTAATACATAAATATACCGAAGAGTCTGCCCGTGCTGAAAATGTGGACTTTTGGAAGGGGTAAGAGGGAGATGAAGCACAATCTTCACAGTTTTATCCTTCTTTACCTGATATTCTTTGGACCCTGGAGAAAGAAGCTTGCGTTGTGCATCAAGCTTCACAAATTTTCTGGTGGTATTCTCTATCCGAGCATGCAAGTTCCTGTATTCATCATACTCAGCATAGAAGTCATTCTTGTAACTCTGGCGTTGCTCGTATGAGACTATAGCTACGTATTTTCTAATGGAAAAAACAAGCACATGTGCAATTTTACACCAAGGACATAGTGAATATCAAGCATAGATACCCAAGCTTTAAGTGAGTTAGCTATGTGACTGACTTCTACATGTAAGCACAGGTGCTCCAAGAGAACATACTTAGCTAATTATAGAAATCTACCATATTTTTGTGACAGTTATTTGCTAATATTTTACTTTTTAGAGTTTTTATTCAGAATCTGCACAAAAAAAGTGTAGCATACTTAGAAAAGATTAGCAATCATTCAAACATAGAAGGACCAATAAACACATCAGCTTCAGTGAGAGAAGAGAAACTGCTAGATTACAATCTCTTTCTATGAAGGCACAGCTTAATTAAGTTATATTTACTTTTGAAAATTCATTTTCATTACATTTTTGGAAGGGACTGCATTCGTGGAGTTGGATGTTAGGTTTTTGGCTATATTTGTGCCTAACAGCAAAGCATAGTTAATAATAAAATTTTATTATTTTAGTGAACACCAGTTGTGGTGTTGTGCATTCAACTAAGGCACTTGCAATATAGCAACAAAAACAAACTGCAAAGAAGTCTGAAACAACAAAAAAACCCTACTCACCCATCACATCACCTCCTAAGAAGGGCAAAACCCATAACTGCTTAAAGCCACTGATGTGATTGAAACTTTATTCACTTCCCCTCTCCCTCAAATGAACATGAGCAGATTTAGCAAGCTCATTATACAAATCCAAGATGAAGTTGCAATGCAGGTAATAGATATCATTTCCCACTGCCCTCACACCAATGCTTCCAATCCTCCTAGGCTAAAGACCAGGTTCTCTTTGGATGACACAGACACCTCCACATGGCAATGAATCCTTCAAACCACCCTCAGATTCATTTTAATGAGCAGGAAAAATTTAACAAGTTGAAAATCTGTACCAACACAGACAACAACTTCTGTCTGATGTATCCCAGGCCAGATGCACCCGATCAGAGTGTTAGATGGTTTTTAAAAGAAAAGTACAGCTGCCCTTCAACATTTTGGGAGGTACCTGTGAAGTGATAGTGTGGAGTACTGGCTTATGCACAGTTACATCCCACAGCAAGAGTCCTAGCGCAGGACAAGAGCCCAGCAAAGCACTTGCAAGGTAAGTTTGTGGAGAAGGAAGATAACATGAGGGTGTAAGTAAGGAGAAATGTGAATCTGTTTTGTTTTTTCTAGCTTTCGCTGAAACTTTGCTTTAAAAGCTTGAGTTCCTTTACTCTCAATCTTTATATTAAGATGGACAGTATCTTTATGCTAAAGCTGTGATTATATTCATGAATTAAGTAGCACTTAAAGATGGGACGAAAAGCTGGAATAAACTATCAAAGTCCTTTAGACTAGATCAAATTGCAGGTGCTGTCAGGTCTCAATCTTTCTGTAATGATCTGGCAGATTAGGCAATGCAACCTAATTTGTTCCAGGACACCATGGCCAGTAGATTAGCTGGGAGATTGTTCCAGAGGTTGCTCCTTTCACAGAGATTTCTTCATTAAAGTTTTTACTCCCAATCAGAAATCTTGCATGAAGGCTATTTTTTTTGCTGTTGTTTGGTTTGTTTTTTTAACTTTTAGCAATGGCTGTTGGCATCCAACTCCAATATTAGATTACTCTAATGTTAGCTGACACTGCGCAATCGCACTGCTAGGAAGCATCAGGGTCATCATGGCTTTACCTACCACGCTGCTCATTTCAGCTCTGAGGGTTGAAGGCCCCTCAAAATCTCAAATTCATCCTTCCAACTGAGGAAAGAGCTTTAGATTGCTCCCCACTGTGCCCATCTCCCCACAAAAGCATTTTATGAGAAATTCAGGTTGCACTGGCCAAGTTTTTCCAGTTATTCTGCTGCAGCCTCCTTTAACTTCCACATTTGTAAAAAAAGTCCACCAATAGAACAGTTGGGAAAAAGCCCAGACACTGGGCATTTGCAGAAGCTATTTCTTTGTTTTACTACAGTAGAAAAAAAATCCTCCTGATAAAAAGTTTTAATTTTCTAAAAAAGTATTTAGAATATTAAAATGATTCTGTTATTAGAGCGATGTCATTTTAAATCAAGTTCTTTGATACTTGTCATGGGGTAAAAACTTTTTTATATAGCAGGTAAATTGTAATTTTGGGGAATGTTAATCTGATGTGTGACAACTTAAGGAGCTAAAACTAAACTTACTGGGAAGTCCTTCTGTAATTTTATAGACTGCAATATGCCAGTCATTGTAGATATGTAGCATTTCACAGGCAACTTTAATGCATTTTTATCATACTTTGTAACCAAAATTAAGCAGCTAAAATTTAAAACCTGAAGTGAGGTTATTGTCTAGCTCTTTGGTCTGCGGTTCTATGGTGAAATTGGATATTTTCCTGTAGCTTCAAGTTAGTTAGTGGCCATTTTACATCAAAGCTTTGGAAATAACTTTGATGGGTAACTCCTGTTAGCTCATGTACAAGCTTTGTAATGCTGGACTTTAAAGTCTGCTATCTTCCCTCCCCACCTTTCCAGTTAAGATGCACTAAGCAGTGAAAAACACAGGAAAGATGTTCAAATTTACATATTCAGTATTTTAGCATTCAGCTTTCCTCCTGTATTGCCTCACCTCTAAAAAGAACATGGTGCACGTTCATATTCCTTTTTTATTGTGTTTTTGAAGAATGAAATTAAATGTTTTAAGTCTTCTAAAGTATATTAAAAATTATTTTTAACACTTCTTTTCCCCCCAATAATTAAGCAACAACCTCAGAGTTTAAAACTTGCAGGTACTCAAATAAAGCAGCTGGGTGACTTAGAGGAACTTGTCATTATTCTAAAATTACATTTTGGTAAATTTTCAATTTTGTAGCTAAATGGAGTTTTGATAAGTTATTTTTCAACTGCTTCAATGGGTAGCAAGAGACTCCTAATCGTTATTTTACTCACTTGAAGTAGTCTGGTTGTTCGCTAGATGAAGGACCATCTATGGAGGCAGAGCAAGTTTCTTTAACTCCTATGGAAAAGCAGAATTTTGACACTTGCCATAAACAGATTTTTAATATAGCCAAACAATACCAACCTTATGGGCTTGAAAAAAATCCTTTGGCGTTTTATTATAGAGCTTATTCTAAGTTAATAATAGGGCTCACATGACCTTCTCCACAGTAGGCAGTACTGGGGTTTAGAAAGCGGGCATGGCTACTTTATTCTGCAGGTTCTGTGCTACTGCAGTATTAACCCGAGGTCAGCTTTTCTCATTTGAAGTCATGATGTGGCATCTGCCCAGCAATTCAAGTTATGCAGCAACAGATGCAGCTGCACAACAGAAGACAGCTTGATATATGTATATCTCTATCTATCTATATATCTCAACATGCAGGTTCCAGCGAGAAACAGAGTAGAAAGCTGAAGTTCTTTTCATGCCATGTTTTTATTCCTCCCTCCCTGCCAATTACAGATATCCAAATTTAATTTCAGCACTCTTCTAATCGGGAAAGTCAATAGCATTGTATATGGGTTACTGGCATTCAGGCTTCAATAACCCGCAACAAAGACTTGCTCCTCATTAAGGTGGCAATGCTGGGTTTGAAAGTTATTTGCACTTGTAAATTGCTCTTTTAAACGGCATTATGAAAACGCATTATACTTAATCTCTAATCCCTCTTTTTAAAGTAATATTTTAAGAGCCTCCTATCTTTTTGATAAATAAGAAAACTTTTACTGTAAGTAAAAGTTAGCTGGAGCAGGAAGGAACACTCAGTATCTTGGTAATCTCTCTCTGCTTTTCGTTTAGGGTTTTGTGGCAACCTTAAAAAACACACAATCCTTTATATTCATTATTATCTTACATTGCTACAGTTTAAACACAGTATTTCTGCTAAAGCTCAGCCATTCTTGCCAATCTCTAAGCTGTCTGAGCTTTAAGTCATGGGGAGAGAAGACCTATCATGCAATGTTCTACTTGAATCTTTTGCTTTTGATATTAAAATTATTACGTGGTATAGCAGGAAAAAGAATTGTAAAAGTGGGAACAAAATCTGAGAGAAATGCAAACAGTAATATTCACAGTCATAGTTTGTACAATGCAACTTATGTGAACAGTTCTGCTGCAAGCATTTAATTTCCAAAAATTCAACTTGAAATGTAGTACAGATTTTTCCTTCCCTAGCTGTTCAGAATTTTGTTACTGGCTTCTGTAGAAAAATGCTCACATGTTTGTAAATTCAAGCATGAATATTTTCAAAGCCATCCCAAGCCATGTGGGCACTATGTAGTATGTCCAGGGTGAAACTGAAAAGACCATCTCAAAACACCCTGATCTACAAGCACACCACTTCAAAGAGGCACCATGCATACCCCAAAGATGCCTCCAGGCTGTGACAGGAAAGGGCTAAATCCAACTTCAAATTTGCTGGTCAAAATTCGGATATTAGAAAACACACAGATTTAACAAAGGAACTGAACTCTGCCTTGGTTTTTTTGTCTGTGTGTGTTAAGAAATCAAGTATTGTTTGTGCATTTCTGTTTAGCTTTTCAATGCCATTTTAAGCATGTACCATTTCTACATCTTTTGAAGTAATAAATTCTGCAGCCAAGATGGAGAGGAGCTCACAACACAGTTCCAATCAAAACTCTAGTAGACCACATGCCAGTTTATGGAGGTTTTGGACTTACCATGAAAAGTCTGAGTTTGATAAACCTTACATTCTGATATACAATGAAATAAATTTATGTCTGATCTATGTGTTTCAGTAAACTAGTATTCAATAAATATGTGACAGGTTTTTATTTTCAGCATGCAGACTTTAAAATTTGCTGATGGAAAAAGTGGAGTAAGTTTTGGTGAACTGTCAGTTTACTGGAAATCAAGCACACAAAAAAAATCCATTCCTTGTGTTTTTCCAGTCCCTAGCTCTTCCTTTTAAGCAGCTTCTGCCCAACAGTAATCCATTTAAGATTTCTTTGTTCTAATAATTTTTGTACTACAGAACGAGAATTCTTAAAAATGAACCTAATTTTAGGTAAGGTTCCAGCAGAACAGTTTCTAGTTTTTGTTGGGTTTATTTTTTTTAAAACTAACAGTTAATGTAAAGCAATGGCAGAAAAAAAATTATTGATTCTTCCAGACCATGAAGTGTAGGGATAATGGCAAGGCACTTAATATATAGCAAGTCAAAAACCAGACCATTTGCATTTCCAGTCCCTGGTTTTACTGGTCTCTTTTCACCAGCATTACCCATATAATAGTTAGGAAAAGCAGCGTATTAATACCTTCATCAGAATCCATACCGGAGGATTTTTTCAGCTTGACAGTTTCTTCTTTTTTAAGGTCTTTCTCCTCCCTGCTTGCACTTGTAGTGTCTTGCATTTTGCTTTCGTCTTTCCCCTTATGCTCTTGTACCTTCTTGGACCTTTGCTGCAACACCATACGCTTCTCACCTGTGGATTTGGGAGGCGCTGGGATTCTGAAGACAGTTTGAGAGGTATGTTTTTTTTGCTGGTCCTGATAGATGCCACTGCTATTTTGACTGAAGCTGTCCATTGACATGTCTTGTGTCCCCTGCCTCTCAGGGGTGTTGGATGAGGTGGAGCTGACAGCTTGAGGAGGGGTAGAAGTGGGAAGGAGTGTGGGAGGCAGCAGCAAAGGAGCAGAAGTAGTGGCAGCTGCCGGGGGCGGAGGCGGGGGAGGCGGCGGAGGGGCAGCAGTGGCTTTCTCAATGGAGGCAGGCAAGTAGCAACCGTACGATAGCTGGGCTCGACTGTTCAGATGAGATATCCTCTGCTTTTTGTTCATCAGAGGATCGATAAAATCAGAATTCAAAAGTCGTTTCTGTAATAATAATAATTATAATAATAATAAATAATCAGAATTAAGTTTTGCTGTCATTCAGAAAGCAGAATTTTTGAACATTCAATTGTTGAAAACACATCCTTCTTATCTAAAAATAGCTGTCAAACAAAGAAGTACTGCAGCTAAATACAAGGTTTATTTCATTCTTAGTTTCTAATCTTATGATATCAGAGTGTGCAAAGTGCAAAGCTGGTAAGAATACGTAAAACTCCCGGTTTTGATACAGTTGTCGTTCCAACTGTTCTCTGGCTGAAACAATAGTTCATATCGCCTTCTCTAGCAAGCATACATTGCTCATGTTGACATACAATGGCCACTTGGACCAGGAGTGCCAGGCATGGCTCTGCACCACCCCGTTGAAATAAATCCAGATTCTGTGTGTATGGAGGCAGGTGTAAAGAGGTTCCTGGGACCTGCCCCATTTCATGCTCTGACTGGAAGAAAGTTAGGGAAAAACAGACATGTGCCCTCCCACCTCCATTTCACCTCTCACTGGTGAAAGACTTTGCATACTCCCAGCTTAATGCTGTACATGCATAAGCTCTCGTGTTCTTCAGATTTCAACTGCATTTACTGAAGGGCAGCTGTAGTCACAGAAAGTCTCAAGCTTTTCCTTAAAGTAATGCAGAGTTTCCCCAGCTTCTTCTAAAAGGGTTTGGATTGCCCTCTTGTATTGATAGGAAAACAGGAGATATGCATTTTAAGTCTGAAAAGGCTGGGGGAAGGCAGACATACTACCTGCTGATTCAGACCTGCCTTTTCACATCTGGACTATCCTGAATCAAAATGGGTGCTTAAACAACGCCTATAGGGAAAAAAAAAAAAATTCCTCCAAGCAGACACTACTGTAATTTTTCCTTATTCTGGATTTTCCTAAGCTTCATATTTAAACAGTAGCATAAGCATGTTTGTGCTTATCTTACGCATGTTTCACAAAGAGCCTCAAACACATGCAACCATGTAACAAGAATATATACCTATCTTGTCTTTATAAGACCTTCCTACGCACCAAGATAAACAAGTTATGTGGCCACAGAAAACAGTTTAAGTATTTAACTAGAAAGCACAGGGTTGTGTAACAATAATGGGTAACCAAGACGCTCAGCAGGCCAGTTTAAACCCTACAGGTGAGTTTAAGCTTCTGCAAGGTCAACGTGCTACCAATGGACAATTATGATTTAGGCCAACACGTTGGCTGTTCAAACATGGGGTAGTCTCTGTCAGAGATCTTGGTGTATTTTCAAAATACTCTGTTGACAGGTGGTGTTTATTTTTCTGAATATTTTAGTAAACATTCTGAAATACAGAACACTAAATATAGCAGCCCTTAAGCTATGTGACTGTAAGTTTTTTGCAGTCTTTGACAGGGCAACCATCTTTAAAAAAGATGTAATAATCCAACTGGAAAATACATGCTTCAGTTTTTCATGTGTTAAAGACAGTATGAGTGCTTCACATCACAGCTTTTACACCAATACAAAGTGTGATAAATCTTAATACATTATAAATAATGTTAAAAAACTACAAAATACCTGAGAAGTTGATGGACCATCATCATTAGAAGTTACAGAAGATTCCAAATGACTGGTGCTGGTGGCATTCTGAGATGAATTTAATTTTCTGTAAGGATGACACAACATTTCAGATTACAAGGCAAAAATGTCTATGTCATAGTTCTTTCACTATAGGGAAGACAGACATTCGTTTCCCAGAAAAAAGTTTTTAAATGGCTATTTTCCTTCCCCTAGAGACTGAACTTACCTAGAAAGTATTAACTCCAATGACTGTTTATCTATTTCATTGTATCCAGGCCAATCTTTCTGAATGTCTTTAAATATATAATCCTTCAGAGTGTAAGAATTATCCTTTGGATTCAGGCTGGCTACCTACAGGCAGACAGTTAAGAAAATAAATGTTCATTATACCTAAATGCAAACTACAGAAATAAGACTGGTACTGCAAAGACAAATCAAAGCTGAAAATGAACTACTCCAGTTTTCCAGGTTTTTTAGATCAAAGATCAAAGTAACTCTTGTGTAATGAGCACCAATTTTAAAAAATGTGGTCAACCTGGGATGTAGAAATTTGGGATATAAGGAAATCCTGAACTGCCACAAGCACGTATGAAACGCACTCTATGAAAACCTCTCTCTGGACCATGTATCTGGTTTCTTGTCTTTAATACAACATTGAGAATCACGGCAAACTACACCAAAACTTTAAATATTCACTGCATGAAATACGTCGAGAGGCCTAGTTTTTTATTTATTTTTCTTTTTTAAGAACTGAATAACACTACCTCCACATACAAATTCAGATTTGTTCAACTTCAGGAGGACACCTGCTGTTCTTGTTTTATGCAGCTACACTACAATGGCAGAGCACAGACTGTGCCTGGAACAATGCATGCTTTCCATCATCACATTAATGACCACAGTATGTCGTCATTTGTCTTGACAAACAGAATTGCTTTTCTTTCTCAAGTGCCTGTGCCACAAGAAAGTACAGCTTTCTACTGAACACGGTAACCTAACTGGCACTAAATGTCTTTTAATACAGACATGAATTATTCATCTAACCCGTTAGTTTTAAGCCATATCCAAATTTTACAGATTGGAAAAAAAGTAACTGTACTTATATCTTAACAAGTGATATTTTGGAAATAAGATTTAGTGCTAAAACAGCTAAGGAGAGGTGTACAGGCCCAGGTGCGCTCTTCATTTTGCGGACACAGGGTTTGCTACCATTGTCATGAGAAGGGTGTGTACATGTTGTATACCTTCGAAGATAAAATGGGTTTATATTTTTCTAAAGAAAGATACAAAGTATACTTAAAAACTTGAAGTGAGCTAGTAGAAACTTGAGATCATTGACACCTAAAATGCTGGTTTAGACTTCATCACCTGACAGCTGTTCAGAGTTTCAGAGAAAACCCTCAAAGAAAACCAGTGTCTCTCAATTTGCCTGATACAAAATGCTGAATAACTCAAACACATCACCACCAGTTTTTGCAGCTTTGCCTATCTATCACGTTTTGGAGGAAAAAAAAAAAATACCGCTAATTCATTTGTGTTTGCAAGTCTGCCTGTCCCCAGCTTAAAAAAAAAATAAAAGAAACAGATACCTAGGAACAGTAATTGCCCTCCTAAAAACAGAATTCCAAGAGAAGCAAATCTGTGCGTATTAGATCTTAGCCAGTTCAGGCTGCCGATTTTAGATTTGTACCAAAAAACGTCATTATGAAGCTAAGAAAAACGTGACCAAGGCTTTTCAGGATGTAGTGCTGCTAATGCGACCATTTCTGAATGCAAACCAGTACCCTGAGGTAGTTCACACCACATACGGGAAACAGACTCCCAGTCAGTCTCCTTAAACAGTCAAGCATAATGGGACAGAAGAAAAATTTTGCACCTTTTACCCTTTAGGGTGCTGACCTTTTGGAATTTTTTAATCTGCTTAAAGTATAAATTGACTGCTTCAATTTCTATGTAAGAACATGGCTCTCATTAAATTGTGTGTATCTTCAGGGTGAAAAACCTACCATTGCACTGGGCAAACACAGCCACAATACTTAACATATTCAAACGAGTTTTTAAAATTCGGTGCAGGATCAAACACAGCTATATAAATGTTGAATTTTGCTCACTTTAATAGTTTCCAAAACACCTTTTCCTAGATATATAGAAAATATTCCTACTTTACATATTAATACATGCATAACTCAGCCACAGTCTGTGAGTACAGGGAGTATTTAAAAAATAGGGAAGGAGCCACTGCATCTTACAGTATTTTAAGAAGCCTCTTCTGAATGGTTTTAGTAGAAAATTAATAAGTGCCACTCTTGAACACACAGTTTAAAAGTTTCACCTATACAACATTATAGGCTTACCAGTAATTTTGATGGGTATGATAAAGAAATGCAAGTGGAATTAAAGGAGCACTGGAAAAGCTACATACCAATTACAAGCCACTACGTACATTCAAATGAAATACTAACCACAACAAACCTATGCAACTACCAAACCTCTCTCCTCATAAACTCGTCACAAGAAATACGAAGTACTATGACAGACTATTTCACACAGCCAAGAGAATGCATGGTCAGCTTCCCTCAATTAAGCAGTCCACGTAAAAGAGAGGGGAAACAAATAAGACATTAGGAATAATAAAGCTAGAAATAGTTAATTATTGCCTGCCATTCTAACAAAACAAAAACACTCCCCCAATTTTTTTTATCTTTTTTTCCTCATGTTGACTTGCAGTTTGGGGCATCTGTATAAAGTTGATTGAAAACCCTGAATGAGGAGCATTACATAGGTTGTTTATTATTTTCTAATTTAAATACATGAGTAACACCTCAAAATGATGATTAAAAGAATAGCAAGGGGGGAAAAATGCTGGCACAAACCCCACGATCTCACCTGCTGAAGGATAATTCCAAGGGAATTCTTGTCCTTTTGGTTGACACCATCTCTTTGCAAGCGAGCAAGTAACTCTGGTTTCTTGTAACTCTTCAGTGCCAGTAAGTGGATCACCCTGTCCCTGTACGGTCGCTGAGAAACAGCATTGTGTGTGTGAGTTCTCCGAATCGTGTTTGCAGGGTTCATGGGTGTCGATCTCTTCCTCTCGGGCACAGCATCTGGAATGCTTTGTGGTGGTCTCCTGACCTGTACTCTTTTTCCTAAAGAAAGGGGAAAGAAGAGAGGAGAGAGGACAGGAGAGGAGAGAGAAGAAAAAGGGGGAAAAGAGAGGAGAGAGGAGAGGGACATGGAAGGTTGGGAGAAGACAAGAAAGTTGATTTAAAAATAATCTACTAAGCCAGACAAATGCTAAAAACTGTATTGAGTTAGCACTTCAAGATCTATGAAAATATACAGACAGTAAAGATGCATCGAACTCGGCATTAACAAAAAATATTCAATATTTAAAAAGTTGGTAAATGAGTGATACTGGTAGGAAGACTTTATCTATTATTTATATAGACGGTGCTTTTATTATTTTCCCAGTTTGTAAGCTCAAGCACAGAATACCCAAAATCAGGCTTTTTTTTTAGAAGAGTACTGTAAAGTGTGATGTAAAGGTTTTCCATATAATTAAAAGATTCCACATTAATGGCTGTGGAGTCCAAGTCTACATAATTAACTGCTTAAAGAAAATATGAACACCTGGTGTTAATAACTTGAGTTACTGTAAGTTACACCACATTTTAAACTGAAATGTTCCCCTTTTACTAAATAAGCCCAAGTTTGTCAGAAACAATACACCAAAAATACACAGTTCTTGGGACCAAGGCCAGAGACATTTTAAAACATGGCCTGCACAGCATTTTGGATCCAACTCTATAAAAAGACGCGTTTCTGAACTGGAGGAACAATGCAACTGTGTTTGCAAGCAATGCATCCAGAACGTGAAAATAACACCACCCAACCTGAATCTCAGTTTTCCAGAAAAAGACCCAAACTTCTCTACTCTGTGTTTTTTACATTTTTTTTGCTATCGGGTGGAAAACAAAAAGATTTATTAGTATATTGCAGAAAATAATTGTAATAAATATTGTTTGCAATCCAACACAGGATGTGACAGAAACCAGGCATTTTTCTGAAGCCAACAACTAATGTTTGGTACATGAGGGAGACTTAATGAGTATTAATGAGAAAATCCGGAGCTTGCTCTCTTCTATCAGACAGACAGAGACTGAGCTGTGCTTATGGACTGCTCATCCGCAGGAATAGCAAAAATTTGCTTCCATTTTGCAGTGGAGGCCAAACCTGTATAACCTTTCCACCCTGCATGTTCCCTGGACTTTGCCCTTCTGGTTTTCAAGAACAAACCTGATAGTGCAAACACACATGGTTACATTTTTAGAACAGTTTGAACTTGCCAGTTGTTTACTGAACACATTACAAACGTTTTGACAAGTTAAATGCAATATAGATACACAAACCCCTCACACAGCGGCTAGAATAAGCAGCATTCAAACAAAACACCTCCTGAAGTCATGTCTCCAAATCACTTAAAAAAAAATTAACTGAAAACATTACCAAGCACTAACATGATTAACAGCCCTGGTTCCTAATTTGTACCCCATGAAGCATGTTGCAAAGTCACCCCCGTGCCCTACCAGCAGCTAGACCTGTCCTACCTGAGCTTAGTCAATGCCAGTCAGAAACAAAAATACCCCCAAACACCACAATTGTCCTACTGCCAGTCTTCAGACCCCATTTCTTTAAATCCTCACTTAAGTTCTATCTAAACAGCTAACAAGAGTCACGCAAATCATTCACACATAAAACAGAACTTCCCCGACAAGAAGTTTAGAAATAGACGAAGATGGCGAGCAGTTTAAACGACACATGGGAAGCAGTCCCAACTCCATGCCCTGGTATTAACCGGTGCCCAGCTCCCTCAGCATCAAGGCCACACTCAGGTAGTTTTGTATCTCCAAAAAGCTGTGACGATGCTGGTTTAAAGTGCTCTGCAGTAAGCTGAGGCAGAGCAAGCATTGCACCATCACTGTCCGTGCTGGCAGAGGACCGCAGCGGAAGCCAGGAGAGAGCCAGTTTTACGTAACAGGGGTGGATGCTCCTGGGTCGGCTGGCTGCTGCAGGCAGGACGGCCGCTGCCCGTACCACCGAGTTCCTATAAGGCGGGTGCTCACCTCGCGTCTGTCTGCAGTCGGATCCGGGCTCCTCAGGGAAATGGTACTCAGAACGGTTTGATAATTAATGACACCACCCCAAGGCTTTTTGGTTTGTGGAAAATGATGAAATCCATGGGAAAATGCCAACATTACCTTACTTTTATTTTATTTGTAAAAAAATGGTCTTGTGGTAACAGTTGCTTATTAATGACCAAGTCATAAAATAAATAAAATTTGATCAGCATTAGCAAGTGTGAAAAGCAAAGTTTTTCATACTAAGCTTATGAATTTGTATATGAGTCTTCCTCAATGTTAATTTTTTTAGATGGCAAGTTAAGGTTAATGGTTTAGCGCAGTATTTAGGTACTCAAAAGTGCTGTTACAAGAACAAAGTATTAGCTACTAAACCAGAGAATTTAAATGCATGGAACAGTAAAACCCCTCACCTCAGTGGTCAAAATTTCAACCAATCAAGCGATACGGGAACAAGGAAGGACTGGCAGGCTTTCTGGGGGAAAAAATGTCTAAATGCAGCAACAGGTGACTGCAAATCTGTGAGGGCAAGGTACCTACACCAGAGACCACCTAACACACCACCTTTCCCAGGAATACACTGAAAAGATGAATTACTGAACTTGAAAACTTACAGACATCTAGTAGAAAATGAAATACAACCATACCTAAAAATGGTCCACCAGGTTTAATAACCTTTGCACTTCGATTGCGCGACTCCTCTTCTGCCTGGGTCATGCGCTCTCTGGTCGTCTGATAGGAATCACTTGTTGCACATACTGTAATTTTATTCTGTATAAATCCCAGGCAATTGAGTTGTGAGGCTCCAGAACTATAAAAACATTGAAAAAGATTGAGCCCAAGCACTAGTTCAGGTTTAGAAGTATGGTTGTATCAGGAACTTTAAAACCTGTCTTAACAGGTGAAGAAATATGTTTTCCAGTTTTGACAGCTAGCTAGGGCGTAAATATATTTCAAATTGTCCCTACACATCCAAATCGCTTCAGCGTTACCTGTCGGTGTAGTTACATTTCCTCACATAACTGCATTTGAGAGGTGCACTCAGGGCAGTGCTGGTGGCTGTCCTGACAACTGCTGCAATGACAGGGGCAGGGACAACTCGGGCAGCTACCCTGGCACACTAATGGTGGGCAGCTCCTGCCCTGGAGCATTTACCCCGGCTCTGCTCTCCTCTCCTCTGCCTGAGGTGGCCCATGGCGGCCCCAGGGAGGAGACCTAGCCTCCCTCCCAGGACCTGGGCCCCCACATCCCCCATCTTGCTTTCAAAGATGTCTGCCCTCCTTGTCACCCGCTCCATGCGTTTGCCAGCGCTGAGGAGTTCTTGCGCATCTCTGAGGATTCATGTTCACAAGAGGCACTTGGAGCAAACCCCGCACAAGGGGAAGGACCACCAGGTCTCCTCGACAGCGTCAGGGTGGGCGTTGGGCTTCAGGAGGCGTTTCTGGAGGGGCCCGGCCCGCCATGGTCAGTCCAGCCCGAAGCGCACCTCGGCGAACAGCGCCCTATCACCGCTCCTAACGAGCACGCTGCACGGCACCCACCGCTGCGACAGCTCTGACCAGAGACGGGGCACCGGCTGTAGCTAACCTGAAACTCTTTAACCACCCTAAAATTCCCCAGCAACGCTCCAAGAAGAACAGTCAAGAACCTCACATCTCAACTTACCATACGGCGGCTGAAAGTCACAAATCTGGACCAAGCCACTAAACAGTATTTAAAGATGATACAGCCACAGTTTTCTCCATAGCCTAGAGCTATGCATTGATTCCTTGCTCTGAAATCAGCGCACTAACAACAGAAAAAAGGTCCTTCTTGCCATCTAAAGACCAGCTCGCACCATTGCCCATTTCCTTGAACGGTGTTGCTTCTACTGCTTTTTCACCAGCGCAGCAGCTGAGCACTGACCGAGACGCCACATAATCCCCCTCCTCGAGCTAAGCATTTTCAATATCCAAACCAGTTTGGGAGCTAGGCCTGCCCTGAGCAAAATATTAGACTAGATATCATGCAGAGGTCCTTTCTGGGTTTATTTTTTTTTTAAATGACTCTGTGCGTAGTTTTGCACTAACTTTGCAGGCACTTTGCACAAACCGAGAGCTGGCTACAAAGGACCTCGCAAAAGCTAGTCTGAATTAGATTTTGAAGTAGCTTAGTAAAACAACATTAAAACTACATAGGCACGTTATTCAGAATTATTCAGAGCTAAAGCAGCTTAAATTTAATTTTACTTATTGAATGAATCCAGTTTACTGTAACAGAAGGTGCTCCTTCCCAAAGGAGAAGGTGCTCTCAGAGATGCTCGGGAGAGGCAAGCCAGGCGGCAGAACCTCTCACCCCCGGCATGCAGTCCTGCTGCTTGCTTTGTGCCAGCCTCGGCAGCTCTTTGGCCCCTTTCAGATAGAGTTTAATTTAAAAAAAAAACAAACCACACACAACCAAAAAACCAAACGCCTAAAACCCACGCTGCCCCAGGCTCCCCCAGGTCTGCCTCTAAACCATGCGGTGTTTTACCATTCCCATCAGGTAAGTGAGCCCACTGAAAGGCTGTATTGTAGCAGAAGAAACCTAACACAAGGGGAGAAAGAGAGGATGAGGATGCCGAGAGATGTCCTGTTAGGCAAAGAGCTGTTAAATTAGCTCACTTTCTTATTGCTCCCAAAACACGCTGTCTAGACAAATCTCCGTTTTGAAATTGAGGGCAGAAGCTCTCCTGTGACCGAGTACCTGAGCAGCACCTTTTGGAGATGTGTTGGTGTGATTGCTATCAGCTTCCCAGATCAACACACAAACCCCACCTGCAATGTCCTAGTTAATGACATGGGACAAACAGTTATTCAGCACCACTGGACTGTATCAATACTAGGCTGAACATAATATTCTAGAAGCTGAAGCAAACTTAAGGTAAAAGCACGGTATTTTCTTGCCTTTTCGGTAGACATTAACAGTGTTCACTTTGACTCAAAGGACCCGGACAAGGCGCTGCTGTATTACGTTTGGGTTCTGAAACACCATGGTCATGCAATTGTGGATAAGGTCACTGATTTATGTGGTTCTTAAAATAAGACAACTATCCATCAGGGCCAGCATGCTAGCATGCTGCCAGCCATAATCATATTTACATATGGTTGTAGAATGGATCTGGTCTAGCTGGGACGATGCTGAACTCCAAATTTTTTTAAAAATAGCACTAAGAGGTGAGAAAGTACTCAAAAGGTTACTTTTTTAAGAGCAAAACCAAAAAGAATTCTACGTAAAAGCAAGTATTTATAATTAGCAAGAAATCATGCTATTGCTAGGAATTAATCTTCTACTGCAGCTCATCACTAGGAGCATGCTTCTGTTAAAGGTTTTTGCTATATGCGCAAAGCCACAGAATCTACTTAAATTTGCCATGAAAGAAAACGTTAAGTAAAACTTACCTTGAGTTCGTTTGCTGGACACAGTCAAAGCTTCCCTGAGGATTATCTTTGCCAACATTTGACAAGTAGAAGTTAAATGTTTGCACTTCATTTGGCAGATCAACTTTGGGAATTTTAATAAGCTAAAAGGAAAAAAAAAAGTTTATGTAAAAACTTGAATCTACACTCCTTTGCTTGCCATTAACTAGAACCATATTTTTAAATGAGAACTGTATTTTGAAAGTTTTGCTATGATTTCAGTCAGTCACTAAAAAGGCTGTTTTGGCACAATTCTCCCTCTGAAAGCAGCGCTGGCTACGTGTCTGTCACAGCGGTAACTGCACTGCAAAAGCTGCGGTCGCTCAGCCTCCAATTCAGCAAAGCCTTCAAGCAGCAAGTCATCCTTTCCCATTTAGTGGAATTAATATGCACGTGCTTAACTTTAAATGCAAGCGCCTGAGTATAATCAAACGGACTGAAGCTCAGCTAACAAAACAGATGAGGGCAATTTGCACAGACCACATGGGACACTGCCCTGACTTTGTGATTTATTCAGTCCTAATGAAGCACACACAGGAGTCAGCTCCAAGAAGGAAAAAAACCCCAGCAATACCCAAATCTCAATTCTTAAACTATAAAACATATATTTCAACTCCAACAAGCACTGAAAGACCCTTTCTTTTACTGAGCTCTAGATGCAATTATTTGCATAAATGTGAAATGTAAATAGTTTTTTGTAAGTTTAGTCAGATGTAACAAAACTTGATTTCCTTGGCTGAACTAATCATTTAGTACAGAATGTGCTGCATTCTGCTGGAGCTTAAAAATGTAAATATGAGAAATCACTAAAATGTTTATTGGCATCTGCACATTTTTCAATGTGCTGCTATACAAAACAGTACTGAAGCACAAAAAACCCCTACTGCCATCCAGCTACTTTATTCTGAAGATAAAATTAGCTTGCAGTAAATCTAAAAAGCCATTCTTCTGAAATTTGCTTGAATTTTTAATGGAATATTTAAAACAACTGAAAGAAAGATATATAAAAGCAATATTCAACAGTCTCTTACAAATCTATCTCTCAATGTTTTGCTTGTGAGATTGGCCAGTCTTCTTAAGCGTCAATGTCATTTGCACGAAGTGCTACTACAAAATAACGCCATTACCAGTTACATGTTAATCATCAGCACTGGCAGAGCTTACCAACACCTTTGGACAGTGACTGGACATCAAGTAGAAAGACAAGTCACCTGAACACTATATTCTTTTACTTAGGCTTGAAGTGGTAGTATACTTAAAAGAGCAATATGTGCATTTTATATAAGAATGGAAATAAATTGGGTAAATTAACAAATGCATAATCTTGGATTATACACACATTACCTTTTAATGATTATGAAGGTTACTGTTGAGTAACCATCAACTTAAGACCACCATAGGGGCCCAAATGACACTAAAATTAAACCAAGTTCTATAAAATTAACTACCACTGATCGAATGTTTCAGCATACTGGTTTTCCTATAAATACAGCAGATGTTTATGTATGAATTTGACAATTTGAATTCCATCCAATGTATAAGTTGTCATGTTTTTTAGCCTGATATACTTTTTGGAAAACGAACAAATATATACTATGATGAATCTAAGGCTGGCCCTCAAGAAATACAGCCTATTAAAGGGAGCAGATAACTCTTGCTTGGACTTCATTCTCAAAGCTTATTTTGAGCAAATCTTTATTTTCAGTTGATCAGCCTAAACAATATATATGCACGAAATCACCTTAACATTAGGAAATTCTGTACCCTAATATTTATATTTAAAATTCTGGAAGAATTGCCATGGTATCAAACCACAGAAGGTCTCAATGTGCTTTGATGCAATAACGTGAAGACAGAAGCTAGCCTCAGACCACATCTAAAAACATGTTTGTTACTGTTCCACTCTCTTCTGTGAAGTCTTATTTCTCCCAAATACTGAAAAGGACACTGATAAAACATGGAGAAAAACAAGTCTGCCTCCTCACAGGCAGATGCCTGTGAAGCTTACCACCGACAATGATTACCCAGGAGTAAACTCAAATGGCAACACTGAATGTTTTAAAGCTTCCCCTCGCCCCGATAAACTCTGTAAGTCACTGATGATGATGAGGAAACCAGCTACTGCAACCATTGCAACAGGTTCCTTTGCCTGAGCAAAGAAAAGGTCTAGAAATTTACTTTCATTCTCAAATTTTTAGGATCTATTTTTCACAAACTTCAGAAGAACTAGACGACCATTCCTCAGGCATTTATTAATTTGGATGAAGAGAATGCAAGAACGGAGGGGCAGTATTTGTCTGCTAGAAGATTTCAAAAGTGGCAGTGAAACTAACCTGAGAATAAAAATTTAACTCTTTCATCCTCAGTTCCAAAGTTTTATTATTTAATCTGTAATGCAGCTGACACAAGCCTTTCATTTTTGTGAACTTTTTTTGGACCCGTTCAGAATATCCACACAGTCAAAAGCTTTGTCCTTCGAAGAAGCCAATTTATTGAAGTCTGTCATAACTCAGATAACACAGTTTAATAAACTTGGGACAAGATCTGAGGGGAAAAAAAATGCATTTTAAGTTAGAGTAAATGCAATTAAATCAGATAAGCCTATTTCCCATATTATGGTTCAAGACTGAAAGCCCAAACATTTATGAAATGGAATGAAGAATAATTATTGAATCTGCAAGTAATACAAAGCTGACAGGGACAAAACGCACGAGGATAGAGTTAAAATTCAAAGCAGTCTTGAAAAACTGGAACGGAGGCCTGAAAATAGGTGTATAATACCCTTCCAAAGAGGCTGTACAAGGTACCTCATTTTGAGGTAAAAACCCAACACAGGGCAGCAGCTGTACAGAAAACAATCTGCAGGCTACAGCTGAACATCCAACCAGCACAAGCCCGCAGTAATTTTGCAATATTGGGGTGCCCCAACGTGACTACAGCAACAGGAACAAGCAGGTTGAGCTGCAGGACGATGACATCAGACTTGCACGCAGGAGCTGCCACTCTTCATCTGCCTCACGGCTTGCCGGAGGTTTCTACCACATTTGCCCATTCCCACCACCACGTCGCACACCATGCTCCAGGGAAGCGCGATGCTTCAGCAGCCAGCTGTGCAGCGCAAACCCCAGCCCCGGTGCACTGTCCTCTACCAAATGCCACCCACCAGCTTGGACATGAAGAGATTTCAAGGCTCTCTCCTTGCTTCTTTGCAAAGATGACCTCAACCCCTGACAAATCAAGTAAACATCTTACAGAGGCACGCTTTTAAAGCACGGGGTTCTTGCTAGGCAATATGCAGTCTAGAAAGTATTCCTAGGATATTAACAGATTTTCAGCAACATAGAGAAAGCAATAATTGAAATGGATAAACTTGCTGACAACACCTAGGTTTGCAAAAACTACTATCACCTTAAACCCTTAAGATCAAGTTTTAATGCTGTTGACGTATTTGCCATTTCTTTCTGTATCTTGCAAGACAAAATAACACTTTGAAGTAGTTTCTAGACTCAGCAACTTCTGCAAGTAAGCCTCTTGTTTTGAATAAGCAGTCCTGGTTTTACACTGCAAATTTATATTATATGGTTCTGAGAAGTTCAATAGGCCATTCAAAGATTTTTGGCTTATTCAGAAATAAGAAACTGCATTCAGCTTAAGATAAGCAAAGTGGCAAAGACTTTGTTTTTCCTGTTTGAGCGATACTTGCAGAAGGTAGTCAAGAAGCCTTTATTAAGAAAGTACACATAGCAACCACATTAATCCATAACAGAAAATAAACTTTTGTTTGCATCAGAAAGCAGCACTGCAAGCGCATTGTCAGCATGTTTGTTTCAGAGAAGCTGCTTTTGATTTTTATTCAACCTTCCACATATAAAGAGCATCCTGGCTGGTAAACAGCATGCAATACATTGAAAAGGAATTTGCTATATTCTCTTACAGCAGAGAGGGGATCTCTGAACAGCAAACACCCATTATTTATAGTTGATCTACACTCTTCTTCCAGAAATAGTGAAGTCTTTGCCATAATCCTTCATTAGATCTACTCTATCCTTGCCAGCAGCCAACCAAGTAAGGCAATGAAAGGAGATGAGAAAGCTCTGAAGACGCATGTTTGCACACTCTACCCAAAGAATCACCCTGGTTGTGTCCAGACAAGAGAGGAGGACACCCTGAAAGCAGATGTATGAGAACACAGTTCACAACAACCTCTCCTCCTGGTTAACCACCATCCTAATAAAATGAACAATGCATATTTCCCCTAACATTGCCCAACTTCAAACGTCTTAAGTGGTCTGAGTTAGCAAGTCTGCAGCCTATACACTTCCCAGAATAGGTACTAGCACAGGAAGGTAGGGCATCATTTTTCTTCTCGTGTGCCCAAACACACTGATCCTTGCACATACTTCTTTCCTATTTATGCGAGAAGCCCCTCACACGGACTACTCTGTCCACCACCAGAAGACGCATCCACATAGGCCCCTGTGCTGAGCCTCGTGCCCTGTACGTCCCACCCAACACATGCAGCCCTTGCTGCCCTTCCCACTGCCGCCTCGCCACTCAGCAGACTTCAGGCAAGTGACAGCAGTTTCAGCTAACACCTAGCTCAGGTCTTAATACCTGTCGTAGCTGCTGCCGTCTAGCTAAGCCCACATCTGATAAATACTGGAAGAATATCACCAGTCTGTTTTGTAAGATAACAAAGGTAAGTTGTGATGGACGAGGATTTACAAAGCGGTAAATAACACCCACGCGTGCCTAAAAGCCTTGGCATCCCCTCGATGCTATCGGTACCACCCACACGTGCTTCTCCTGCACAGCCAGGAAGCAGTATCGGGAGAATGCAGGCACTGAAGGAGAAAAAACCAAGCTCACGTGCACCTAAGGCATAGACAGGTGGACATTCAACGGTTTTCCCCACCAGGTTTGACCAAATTTTCTGCTTGGTAGTGATGAGCTGTTTGTTTCAAATCTTTCGCGTCTACATTTCCTCTCCACTTTACTTCACAGCTGCCTTCTCACACTGCTTTACCATCTGTAACATCACCCTCCTTCTTTCCTGTTTAAGAAAAAAAAAAGTTAAAAACAACCTGTGTCTTTACTGAAACCA